TGATTTTACATGTAAATGGAAACATCCATGTCAAATTTTACAACTTTTTTGATGAATTTAAAATTTCGCCGAATAATGTGATGGTACCCCTCGAGCTCGAGGGAAAACTAAAAAAAATAAAAATTTAGACATTATTGACATGTTTTTTTTGACATGAAACTTTTACAAAGTATTTTACGTGAAAAAAAAACATCCATTTCAAATTCGGCATCTTTTTTGATGAATTTAGAATTTGGCAAAAAAACGCGATGGTACCCCTAGAGCTCGAGGCCAAAACTAAATAAAATAATAGTTAAGACATTATTCACATGTCTATTTGGCAAGAAACTTTTACAAGCGATTTTACATGTAAATGGAAACATCCATGTCAAATTTCGCAAATTTTTTGATGCATTTAAAATTTTGCCAAAAAATGTGATGGTACCCCTTCGAGCTCGAGGGAAAAACTAGAAAAATAAAAATTTAGAAATTATTGACATGTTTTTTTTACAAGAAACTTTTACAAAGTATTTTACGTAAAAACAAAAACATCCATTTCAAATTCGGCATCTTTTGTGATGAATTTAAAATTTAGCCAAAAAACGCGATGGTACCCCTAGAGCTCGAGGCCAAAACCAAATAAAATAATAGTTAAGACATTATTCACATGTCTATTTGGCATGAAACTTTTACAAGTGATTTTACATGTAAATGGAAACATCCATGTCAAATTTTACAACTTTTTTGATGGATTTAAAATTTCGCCAAAAAATGTGATGGTACCCCTTGGAGCTCGAAGGAAAAACTAAAAAAATAAAAATTTAGACATTATTGACATGTTTTTTTTTACATGAAACTTTTACAAAGTATTTTACGTAAAAAAAACATCCATTTCAAATTCGGCATCTTTTTTGAAGAATTTAAAATTTGGCCAAAAAACGCGATGGTACCCCTAGAGCTTGAGGCCAAAACCAAATAAAATACTCCCTCCGTCCCTAAATAAAGTTCCATATTTGACTTTTGGAGGATTTAAGGGAGGGATATTTTGGTGTTGACTTTCCAAAAATACCCTTGATGTGATTTGTTAAAGTAAGATGTCATAGGTAGGTAGGTAATATAATATTGGCTAAATTCTAAAATTTTATCAGGCTTTCTCTCTCTAGCCATGGCGAGGAGAGGAAGACCGAAGAATAACCCTAGAATTACACAGGAAAAACTGAATCCAATGCCCGAAAAGGCAAATGAAGCTTGCTCATCTCATGATCTTGGAAGGAAATCAGAGGAACAGATCAATGAAGTGAAGGAGGATGACCCACAAAGCAACCTTGAAATGGAGGAAGGTAAACCTAAATCCTACGCCGAAGTAGTTGGAGATAAGGATGAAATGGAATGCGCTTTGAAGTATGTAGAACCAGAGGAAAAGGATGGAATCAGATATGCAAAGCTTTTGGATGAAGATATTGATGAAAACGCTGCATACTAGGAAGCTGCTGCTGTGGTATGTACTCTGGGATCTAATCCTCCCCTAGCTGTTATGGAAGGATTTATTAACAGATTATGGAAACGATTTGATGTTCTGGATGTTACCTTCCTCAAATATGGGCAGTTTGTAGTCAGATTCAATACAATAGTAGAAAGGGATGAAGCAATAGCAAAGACCTACTATGTGTTTGATAATAGACCTCTCTGCGTGAGGAAATGGATACCTGGTTCTGAAGTGAATTTGGCTGAACTTCTGGACATTCCTATTTGGATTCAGTTGCCAGATCTGGAATTGAGATTTTGGTAGCCTCATTGGGAAACCACTAAGGGCAGACAAATCTACTGTACAAAAGAGCAAAATGAGCTATGCCAGGCTTCAAGTGGAGGTCAGGATGAAACAAGAGTTCCCAGAGGTCATCTACTTTGCTAATGGAAAAGACAGAATTATATCACAAAGGGTGAAGTATGAGTGGTGCCCTATTGTATGCTCTCACTGTGAAGGTTTAGGCCATAATGAAGAAAAGTGCAGGAAGAAGATAGCTCCTAGACAGCAAAAGGTATGGAGGAAAAAACAAACTCATACTGAAAAACAGAAAGAAGAAACACCTCAGGAGAAGGAAATAGAGAATGACAACAAGGAGGAAATGGTCACCCCAGAAGGCAATATTATCACTCAGGTAAATGAAGGAGAGCAAAATGAAGGCTTCACTGAAGTGGGTAGGAAGAACTCAATAAAGAAGAGATGCCTAGGAGAAAGTTTTACAATGATAGCTCAGGGGATTGAGGTGCCCACAGTACTGGCAGAGGCTCAGTATAGTGGGCATAGGTCTTTCCTAACATGATTGGTAGCTGGAATATTAGAGGGCTCAACAGCCCTAATAAGCAGAGTGAGGTGAAGAAACTCATAAATAAATACAAAATAAGGGTCATGGGTATCCTTGAAACAAAAATTAGACAAAAGAATTTTAAGGATATTGAAAATAAGATGTTCCCTAACTGGGGCTCCTACATTAATAATTCATCTCATGTTTTGGGGAGAATTTGGATTGTTTGGGATAAAAGGATCGTTGAGGTACAAATCCAACAGGAATCTGATCAAGCAGTGCACTGTGAAGTTAGGAAGCTGGGGGAAGACTATAAATACTATATTACCTTTGTTTATGGGGCCAATGATAATATTAACACGAGAAGACTGTGGGAGATGCTAAAAAACATAGCTGATAATATGCAAAAGGCCTGGTGTGTTCTTGGGGACTTCAACGCCATAATGGGAACTGAAGATAAAATTGGAGGACTTCCAGTTAAAGGGGAAGAAACTAAGGAGTTCTGTGACTGCATTAGATACTGTGACCTGGAGGAGATACCATATACTGGTGCTAGATATACTTGGTCAAATAAACAAAGTCATGAAAAAAGAATATACTCCAAACTCGATTGGGCCTTTTCAAATATGGAATGGATGCTTAGACATGGAACAAAAACTCTAGTGGGTGAAGAAGGCATATCTGACCACTCCCCTCTCATACTCACAACCATTGATAATAAGCACAGAAGCACCTTCAAATTTTGTGAGATGTGGAGTTTGGATCCTGCTTTTAATGACATAGTGAGATCCCACTGGCAGGTTAATCATTTGGATGGGAAAATGTACCAACTAATACAGAACCTGAAGAGCCTGAGGAAGCCTTTGTCTAAACTACATAGAAATGGGTTCCAAAGGATTCATACCCAATGTGAGGAAAATAGAAAAGAGTTGCTGAATTTTCAGAGGAAAATGAAGGAGGATCCCCAAAATGAACAGCTGATAGTGAAGGAAAATCAAGTAAGAAAGGAATTTATGATGAAACTTAAAGCTTCTTACCTTCTTAAGTGCCAACACATGAAACAGAAGTGGATTACTGAAAGTGACAGGGACACGGCATACTTCCATGCTTGGGTGAAGAAAAGGAAAATACACAACCATATTTCTACCATACATGACAGCAAGGGCAAAAGAGTTGAAGGTACAGATGATATAGCTCGGGTTCTACTAGACTATTTTAAAGATCTGCTAGGATTTCATAGAAGTGTCGAAGTGATTGAGCCTAAGGTTATTGAGGAAGGGAAGACACTGAATATACAGCAGCAGCTAATGCTGATTAAACCTATAAGCCCTCAACAGATCAAGGAAATCATATTTGGGATACCTAGCACAAAGAGTCCAGGTCCAGATGGATTTGGAAGTGGTTTCTTCAAAAAGCAATGGCATGTGGTGGGAACTTTGGTGACAGAAGCAGTGATGGAATTTTTCCAGAAGGACAAAACACTGAATCAGGTTAATGCTACCCATTTGGTGATCATCCCAAAAAAGAAAGATCCCAACTCTGTGTCTGACTACAGGCCTATAGCCTGCTGTAATGTCATCTACAACGTCATATCCAAAATAATATGTGGTAGATTAAAAGGAGTTCTAAAAGAGCTGGCAAACTGGAATCAAGGGGCATTTGTGGAGGGCAGGGAACTACTTCATAATGTTCTCTTATGTCAAGAATTGGCAAGAGGATATGGCAGGAAAAACATCTCCCCTAGATGTCTCCTGAAGCTGGATATTAGGAAAGCTTATGACTCGGTGAGTTGGGAAGCAGTGAGAGGGATATTAACTCATATGAAGTTTCCTGAACAGTTTATCAGATGGGTGATGTTTTGTGTAACTACCCCCTCATATAGCCTAGTTGTTAATGGCGAGCCTCATGGGTATTTTAAGGGCAAAAATGGACTCAGACAGGGGGATCCTATCTCACCCTTATTATTTGTCCTGGTTATGGAGTACCTAACTCGCCTGTTCAGCTATTCTACCAATATTTCCAAGTTTGGTTATCATCCTATGTGTGCATCGTTGAAGGTGGTAAACCTAATTTTTGCTGATGACTTAATAGTGGGTTGCAAAGCTGATGTTAAATCTGTTAAAGTTATCATGGAGGTGCTGGAAAGATTCAACAAGTGTACAGGGCTTCAAATTAACAAGGAGAAATCTTCTATTGTGTTTGGAGGCTGCAAGGAGGATCTGGAAAAGAAGATTATGAGCATCACTCAGATGAATAAAGGAGAACTTCCTTTTACATACCTGGGTTGCCCCATCTCATCATCAAGGTTATCTATTCAGGACTGTGACAAGCTGGTTGAGAAAATTTGTTCCAAAATAACTACGTGGAGCTCCAAGCACCTTACATATGCAGGTAGGGTTAGGCTAATTAATACTGTGCTCATGGGGATAGTAACCTTCTGGGCTAGAATTTTCGTAATCCCATCTAAGGTGATGAAGACTATCCAAGCAATATGCAGAAATTTTCTCTGGAACTCAAAAGCAGAATACAGTAAGGTCCCATTAGTGAGCTGGGAAGAAACTTGTCTTCCTAAGAGGTGCGGAGGACTAGGGTTGAGGAACATGGTTCTATGGAACAAAGCTTCAATCATGAAACTGAATTGGGATATCCACAATAAGAAGGATATACTTTGGGTGCAATGCATTCACACAAGATACATCAAAAATGACAACTACTGGGAGTACACCCCTAGGCCTAACTGCTGTAACTATTGGACTCAAATGATGAAAGTCAGGAATCTGTTTGCCAGCATGCCTAGAGGGGTAAGGTATACAACTCAACAGGGTTATGAATGGCTTCTAGGCGAACATCCCAAACCAATATGGACAGACTGGGTTTGGAACAGGGAAACACTGCCAAAGTGCCAGTTTATAATGTGGCTAATTATGCGTGGGCGTATACAAACAAAAGTTAGACTGGCGAGAGTTATGGAGTTGGACACAACATGTTTCTTTTGCCAAAACGGGGAAGAGGACATCTCTCATCTCTTTTGCAGGTGCGAGTTTGCCAAGGATGTGTTAGGCCATATAGCTGAATGGATGCAGACAAAACTAGAAGGGGATGATATTGTAGAGATGGCAATGGGCATAATAAAGAACAACCCCGGGAAGAGAAGGAAGGAAGNTATACAAACAAAAGTTAGACTGGCGAGAGTTATGGAGTTGGACACAACATGTTTCTTTTGCCAAAACGGGGAAGAGGACATCTCTCATCTCTTTTGCAGGTGCGAGTTTGCCAAGGATGTGTTAGGCCATATAGCTGAATGGATGCAGACAAAACTAGAAGGGGATGATATTGTAGAGATGGCAATGGGCATAATAAAGAACAACCCCGGGAAGAGAAGGAAGGAAGTGCTAGCTGGTTGGGCCACAGCATGCTACTATATATGGAGGGCTAGGAATTGGAAAAGGCATGATAAAGAAGTTCAAATTCAGGAGATAGTTAGTACCATTAAATATCATTGTTCTGTGACATTTAGTAGATAAAAGGGTGGGTAGAGAAAGTGTTGGAAAATGATGTGGGAGTTTGTGTAATACTAGATGTGTTTGGTGATTATATATATAGCATTTTCGTTTCAAAAAAAAAAAGATGTCATAGGTAGATTATTAGTAAAAAGATATGATGTGATAGGTAGGGTATGAAAAAGTAAGGGGTAAAAGGGGTTTTTTAAGGGAAAAGAGAAGTTTATTTAGGGACAAAGAAAAAACGAAAGATGAACTTTATTTAGGGACGGAGGGAGTAATGGTTAAGACATTATTCACATGTGTATTTGGCATGAAACTTTTACATGTGATTTTACATGTAAATAGAAACATCCATGTCAAATTTCGCAACTTTTTTGATGCATTTAAAATTTCGCCAAAAAATGTGATGGTACCCCTTCGAGCTCGAGGGAAAAACTAAAAAAATAAAAATTTAGACATTATTGACATGTTTTTTTTTTACATGAAACTTTTACAAAGTATTTTACGTGAAAAAAAAACATCTATTTCAAATTCGGCATCTTTTCTGATGAATTTAGAATTTGGCCAAAAAACGCGATGGTACCCCTAGAGCTCGAGACCAAAACCAAATAAAATAATAGTTAAGACATTATTCACATGTCTATTTGGCATGAAAATTTTACAACTGATTTTACATGTAAATGGAAACATCCATGTCAAATTTCGCAACTTTTTTGATGGATTTAAAATTTCGCCAAAAAATGTGATGGTACCCCTTCGAGCTCGAAGGAAAAACTAAAAAAATAAAAATTTAGACATTATTGACATGTTTTTTTTACATGAAACTTTTACAAAGTATTTTACGTGAAAAAAAAACATCCATTTCAAATTCGGCATCTTTTTTGAAGAATTTAAAATTTGGCCAAAAAACGAGATGGTACCCCTAGAGCTTGAGGCCAAAACCAAATAAAATAATAGTTAAGACATTATTCACATGTCTATTTGGCATGAAACTTTTACAAGCGATTTTACATGTAAATGGAAACATCCATGTCAAATTTCGCAACTCTTTTGATGCATTTAAAATTTTGCCAAAAAATGTGATGGTACCCCTTCGAGCTTGAGGGAAAAACTAAAAAAATAAAAATTTAGAAATTATTGACATGTTTTTTTTTTGACAAGAAACTTTTACAAAGTATTTTACGTAAAAACAAAAACATCCATTTCAAATTCGGCATCTTTTCTGATGAATTTAGAATTTGGCAAAAAACGCGATGGTACCCCTAGAGCTCGATGCCAAAACTAAATAAAATAATAGTTAAGACCTTTCTCACATGTCTATTTGGCATAAACTTTTACAAGTGATTTTACATGTAAATGGAAACATCCATGTCAAATTTTACAACTTTTTTTATGGATTTAAAATTACGCCAAAAAATGTGATGGTACCCCTTCGGGCTCGATGGAAAAACTAAAAAAAGAAAAATTGAGACATTATTGACATGTTTTTTTGACATGAAACTTTTACAAAGTATTTTACGTGAATAAAAAACATCCATTTCAAATTCGGCATCTTTTTTTGATGAATTTATAGTTTGGCCAAAAAACGCGATGGTACCCCTAGAGCTCGAGGCAAAACCAAATAAAATAATAGTTAAGACATTATTCACAAGTCTATTTGGAATCAAACTTTTACATAGAATTTTACATGAAAATAGAAACATCCATGTCAAATTTCGCAACTTTTTTGATGCATTTAAAATTTTGCCAAAAAATGTGATGGTACCTCTTCGAGCTCGAGGGAAAAACTAAAAAATAAAAATTTAGACATTATTGACATGTTTTTTTT